GGCACGGACAAGAAATCACACTTTGTCCCTTGCTGTTCAGTTGTGTGTCCAGCCTTCTGCTCGCTGCTACACACCTTGCTGTCCGCCTGCTGCTGGGCTGTAGGAAAGGGTAGAAGAGTTAAGCAATTCTCGTAAATTGACGTAAGTAGAACTCAAGAACTGTAGTAACTGCTTTCCATATAGCTTCTGTGGACTATAAAGATATTTGGTCAGTTTTGAGAGAAATGTAAGTATCCATTTCTTTTACCATTCCCCATTTGTCAGTAGAACAATAGCTGCTTGAGTTGTGGTGACACTTGGAATTAATGGTGTTAACACTAGAGTTAGATGTCTAAATGCCAGAGTGCTAGTTAACTTGTGACTGGTTTTGATTTTTTTTCAGTAATCTTCGTATCAATGCTGTGTGTTTACTGTGAAGCCTCTTTTGAGTTTGCACAGTAACTAAATGTGGTACCAAAATTCCTATATTAGACAGTAGTATTTCTAGGTTAACTGTTCCACTCAGCTCTGTTTTATTGAGTTGTACTTGCCAGCAGGGCTACTGAAAAGCAGGGGCGTATTTCTATAGTGATGACCTGACAATATTGAAGCATGCCGAAACAATATCATGGCTACAGAGCTTTTAGCAGTGTTTCTAAACAGTCTTTGTCTAATGTATTTGTTACTGAAAAATAGCCAGGAGTCTGTTCCCCATTCTACAGGGGTTGCATGAATAGAGAACAAATGGAAAGGCCTTTTCTGTTTGCATGCTTTAGGAAAAGCCTCCAGGGTACAGGATTTGGAAACAAAAATGCTATCACTTCTATTAAATGCAACCACGAGATCTTGTTTTTAGGTTAAACCGAGCGTAAGCAGTTGTGCTAATGCCTGCTCTGTATTAAGACTGCCATGAGCGCTACTGTAGGAGGCCTTTCTAGTGGAAGTAATACTTGCTTTGGCAACATCAGTTACATGAGTTCTTCCAGTCTTTCACTGCCTACGTATGGCAGAAGTGGGTCAGATGCCTGGGCCTGGCTTGCTTAGTAATTGTTCCTGCGAATAGGTGTGTGTTAAGTGGTGTATGGTAAAAGCACTAGCATCAAGCAGTACTCACTCTCAGCTCTTGAATTTGAGAGTGTTTCAGGTACCTGAGCTGTCGAATGGGTAGCTGCCGGTTTGTTCTACTTGCCACCCTTGGAAATGGGTCCACGTGTTCTCAAGGAGGTCCTGTTTTCTTTATGGTGACCAGCCTGAAGGTGAAGTTCATCTTGGAGTTCCAATCCGAATCCTCAAGGAAGGGGTGTGGAAGTGCTTTAGATGGCTGACTGGGAGAATGTGGAGCTCTATTTGGCTGCACATTGCTAGCACACGTGCACTTCTCCAGGAGGTAACCTCGCTGCCTCTACTACTGGCAGCCTTTGCCTCGTTGAGAATGATTCAATAGAGTAAAGCTTGACTTGATGAAAAGTTTTGGGAAACGGCAAACTGTGGGAGTTGTGATGCAAAAATTCCATGTTAATAGATGGAAGAACTGTACTGGAAAACTACTGCTGAGTTTGTCAGCGCACTGTTTGCTGCTTTTCGTTTGAGTGTTATCAAAAGAACTAATCCTTGGTACTTTAGTAGTATGGTAGTGAACTAAGTTATGTGAATGACACTAGTTTTTTTCCAAGTTACACAGTGATTGCATTCAGAAAAATCTCTACACTGCCCTAGAAACAGTGGGGCCAAACTTACAGCTGTACTGATGTGTATCCAGACTCATCTAACAGGGTTTGGTAGTGTTCCTGTGACTCGTGCAGTGGTGTAACTTGAAACATGACTTAAGTGAATTAAGTTGCAGGTGTAGAGGAGACATACCTTCTGATGTTTGCACACCTGTTTAAATGTCAAACTTGTGTAGTTAAGCAAGGTGTGCATAGTTAACAGCTGTTGCTTTAGAAAGAACAGTTTGTGTTTGGTTGTCTGCTTACAACCTGTTCTCTGAGCTGCAGACCTGGTGTTCTTGGAGTTGGGTACCAGGCACTGCTTTGGAGAGAAGATGGTTCTGGTCGGGCCTGGTCAGAGGGCTAACCTTCGCAGGTTTTCATCTTTAGTGGCCAGAGTTGTGCTATGAGTGAGCGAACTGCCTGAAATTTTTCTACCTGTTCACCTGTAAATTTTAACTTCTTTCTGAGCTTCGATTATCGTGAAGTCGTGTACAGTGCATCTGTCTGTTGGGAGAGAGCACAAAGCTATTTCATCTCTATTTGTCCTTTAGAGAGCTGTTCTTCAGAGCCAAATTAATCAAATACTCATGCTCAGCTTAGAGGATTAGTTAGCTTTTCATAAGAAGTTTTCTTTTTGAACAATAACATGCACTTGCTTTTTATACATACGCATGATTACTGTTCCTGGTCCGCATGGTGAAAGCTGACTGTGCCTCACTAGCACTGTGCCTAGTTTCTGTAGGCATCTGGCATGTTACAAGAACAGAATATATGGAGTGACTTAGTATGTGTAAGGCTCATTCAAAAGAGCCTTATTGTGTTGGTGTTAAGATAATCACTAGAGTTAGAATATTGTTTGGACTAGTTAGCTGTGAAGTTGGTAAATGGTAGAATGTTGTTAAACGTTTCAGCTTGAATGCAGTCAGACAAATTCTTGCTTTAATATAGCAATGTGTTATTCAGGGGAATACTTTGATATAAAAATCTGCCAATGCTTGCTTTCTAATTAGTATTGCCTGGGGAATTCGCTTGTAGGTCTGAACTGTTAACTTGATTAACCCGGATTTTTTTAAGTCAGAAGGTACTTCTGAGATATGTGTTTAATTATGTTCTGTATTTAAGAAAGGTTATTACACATGAGACTAAGCTGATGTGCCTTAAAGTACTTATAGTTGGAAGAAATTATTATAGTGTTTCAAGGAAAGAACTTCTCTTCATTTATACAATAAATGCAGTATGTTACATGCTTTAAACCTGGCTGTGTGTTTTCACTCAGTTGGCTTAGTTGGTGTAATCTCTGTTAAAGTCTGACCACCTGAAATGTTTGTGAAATATCACATGGAGTATTTGACTACATGATTCTGCTGAGCAGCAGTAGCAATAGTAAGTCTATAGGCTGTAGTGCTAGAAGTGCTGTCATACTGCCTTTTTTAGAGATCCAGTTGTTACTTTGATTTTCATCAAACCTAGTAGGAGTTTGTAATTGCTTGAAGAAGAAACTAAGTGAGAAGATGAGATCTTAACTGTTTAATTGATCATTTTGTTTAACTTGCCCATCTGATTCTGCTCTAGTGTCCAAAATAGAGCTTCATAAAACAAGTTGTGCCATGTTGTATCTTGTTACTGTTTGATTTTGGAAGATGGAGGCAGTATCTCATTAGATGGCTTGGAGCTGATCATGGGGAAGCTGAGAGGGAGAAGAAAATGATTAAGGCAAGTAAGTAGTCTTGGAGAATGAAATTCTCTAACTTTGTATGTACGTAAGAGAAGAGAACCTCACTGAACTTAACTGTTCGTGGATCAAGGTTGTAGTAAGTGTTTTATGCGTGGCAGTCAATTGTGAAAGGCAGATCATGTAGATAAAGCATTTGATTATACTAGTCCTTCATGATTTGTGAATAGTAAGGCCGTGGATTTCAATTGACCTGTGAAGCTTATTGGTGGGAGAGAACCAGAAAAGCATTTCACATAGAGGACCAGGCTTATCTTGATACTTCTAGGAAATTTCAGTAAAACAGCATCTTGCCTGTGTTCATGGAGTTGAGTTGTGTTAGTGCTTCAGGAAACAATTTGTCTTTATTGAAAAGAGTATCTTAGGGTTTTCAGTTCCTTGGAAATATAAGACTTGTTTAAAAAAAAAAAAGCCAACCAAAAGGATGCCCCAAAAGACACTCAAAACTCCAGTCACAGGTGGTCTGACTCTTGCAGAGCTTACAGACAGTACTGGGCAAAAGACACCTGAACCACAGCTGCAAGCACTCAGTTCTTAAAACTCCAACTCCTGCTGAGGCCCAGTAGTTAACAGTGGGGAAGGTGCTGAGCTAACGCAATGGGAGAAAGTAAGGCAGAGGTGCTCTTTTTACTCTAAAAATATTTTTTTCCCTCATAATGGAACACTACATGCTACTGGACAGACTCAGTCACTCGTACAGCTCAGCCAAGTTCTGCAGCAGGATGGGTTTCCTTGCAGTGTCTCAAGAAGGCACATAGATGACAGGGTTGGAACTACTGTGTTCAGAGTGAAGACTTTGCAAGATCAAGAGTCTTAATCTCTTTTAGGTTGGTTTTGGTAACTTGACAGCATGGGAGGTGGCTTATTCGAGCTCATTTAAAAAATGAATGGTAAATCATCTTACCTTGGATACTTTTTTCTTGAAGTTGTATTCATGCCCATCATGGCTTTGATGTGAAGAAGACAAGAAATTACGTAGGCTAGTGAGACTAGTTCGTGCAGTATACTTTTGTTTTAGGGTAGAAGAAATAGCAATACAACTACTCAGGAAAAATAGCCAGAAAAGATCAATCTGAAAAAGTTTGTATTGTTCTGGAGGTTTATTCATAACTGAGTGTAGAGTGGTTCTGAGCTGGGAAGTGAGGCATTGTAAAAATGGCACTGCAGAATTCCTGACTTCTCCCACATTCGACTCTGTTTCCCAACACTTAAATTCTGTGTTCTGATGATGGGTAAGCACTTGTTCAGGTGCTTGGAACTGAGGTGAAAGATTGCCTGTTCATGGTGCTTAAGTTTGGATGGGTAGTAAATTCTCTGAGTAGTTCATTCAGTAATCAAGGTGCCAGTGCTTAAAGTGGGAGTGCCAGCCTGCTGGGTCTGTGCAATACCTCTGTGCTGCTCTACAGCTCTTCCCCATAACATGGGCAACCTACTGCCTCCGTATTCCATATAGGTCTTTACTGTGTGATCTTTGAACCACTTCTAACACTGCCTTTTAGAAGCCTACTTGAAACTTTTTCATCATCATCCCTGTATGACATTCTGATGAAGTACTAAAATAAAAATCTTCTAACTTACAGCACAGCCAAGTACAGCGTGGTGACATTTCTACCTCGATTCCTGTATGAGCAGATCAGAAAAGCTGCAAATGCATTCTTCCTCTTCATTGCCTTACTGCAGGTATTGTTTTATTGGTTTGCCTCGATTATGAAATGAAACTGTAATGCAGGAAAAGTTGTTTCAGTTAATCATAACTGCGAAGAAATTGAGACAGATATTAATAGTAATATTCATGAGGTGTGCGCTTTATAATTAGAAGGCAACTTGGAGACTGTTTTCAATGTAGTTTGTAACATCAAGCTACTTCTGTTCTTGATCAGTTAAACCAAGAAGTAGTATCATAAAATGTGGTGCTGCTGACAGTGCTGAGAAGCATGTGTGGATCCCTGTGAAGCTGCTGGCTGTAGGTAGTGCAGGCTATCCCTGCTTCCAGGAGAGTTACGTCATTTGAATGCTTTTCTTGTGAAGAGAGGAGAAATAGAATAAAAGGCATGTGCAACAACTCTATTTTCTAACTTTGAGAGCAGTTTCTTCAAACATACTGAGGGTTTAGGCTAGTTTAGCCACTGAAATTGGATGTCAGTCAGGCAGAAATCGGAAAGCTCTGCGTTCTCGTGTTCTGAGAGCTCTGCATGAAGCTCTAAACTTGCTAGAAAATAATTTTAAATATGAATATGAAACGGGTATCTCTTCTCCCTCTGTTCACAGCAAATTCCAGATGTCTCTCCAACAGGAAGATATACCACCTTGGTGCCATTGCTATTTATTCTAACAGTTGCTGGCATCAAAGAAATCATAGAAGACTATGTAAGTATCATTAAGGGGAAGGATGTGCTAAAGACAAAGTCTTTCTAAAGAGCCCCAAAGCGACGCATCTGTGAAGTCTATTGAGTCATTGCTGAGCAGCACCAAAATACCCTTTTGTCTTTCAGAGCTCTGAACTCAACTAGAATTTCTGTAGCACACTGAGACGAAGCATTTTCATTATAGATGGTGAACAAGGAAACAGTAGAAGTCAGGACACTTGTTTCTACATCTTTGAACTTGTTTGTTCATGATTTTATTAGAACAGCCTGGCTAGAAAGACGCTGTAGAGTCCTGACAGATTTGTGGCCTTTCTAGTTTGCCTTGAAAATGGGGCAGGGGGGAAGCAACTTTAGCATAGAGCAAACTGTTCTAGGGAAAGTCTGTGCTAACTTGCTTGGATGCTATTTATTATAAAGAGGTCTTTCTGCTTTGCAAAGTTCTAATGAATAAAATAAACTAGAAGTCAGTCTACACAAACAGCACGTAGAATGTATAGTGGAGCTGTCATCTAAATATATTGTTCCTCACTGTTTGTTTTGTTTTTCTTCTGAAAACCAGTTTTGGAGACTTAGTTTTTTTGCTGTTGATCCAGGTTTGAGCCTGACTTCCAACATGAGGACTGTCACTTTAGAGTTAAATTATATTCTTTTACAAACCGTTGGGATGTAGATGATATATGTTGCTTTTTAAAAAAAAAAAAGGGGGCAAAAATGACCCAATGTATCATCTTGTAGTTTGTCATGTTTCTAGCTCTGATGGTTTTGGAATCTGTAATGAGGTGTAACGAAATGTTTTGTTTCTTTGCAGAAAAGGCATAAGGCAGACAGTGCAGTGAATAAAAAGAAAACAATAGGTAAGACTGAGCAGTCTTTATGTTAAGTATTTAAAGTGCAAATAATGAATACCAGAACGCTTACTTTTGAAAAATTCTATTGCTTCAACAGTCATGATGGTGGGGAATGCATGTCTTGTTGGACTAGGTAGTTACTGGTATGCTAGAATTGTACTTCATCAAGTGTCTCAGACTGGTGCTGATAGTGTGACCTTTGAGGGCAAGGCATGGGAAGGATTATTAGAATTTTTAAGTTCATGTAATTTCAAGGTTGTCCAAAGTTATACAGTTCTCAGCTCCTCCAAGAAAACCAAGCAAAGAAATTTTGAAGTCATTGTTGTAAATGCTGCTCCCTTAGAATATAGGAAGAACTCAGGGGATTTTGTGGATTTGCTTTCCTGAAGTATCACTGAAAGAATTTAACACTGATATCCTCTAAGTTGCCTACGTGTGTCCCGAATGTATTGGCACTACTTGGCACTGAAAACCTGCAGACACTGTTTTTGTTTTCTTCATCTCCCTTAACAGAAACCCTGTGCAGAAAACATGAAGAGTTTATTGAAGCAGCATAGGCTGACCCTAGGGTAGCCAGGGATGGCAACTGCGTGTCCCTGTGCTGACCAGCTGCTCTGCAGCTCCTCTGGGGAGATTGGCAGCTGGAAGGGAGAATGCAGGGATGTGACCTCGGAGTAGAGCCCCTTCCTCCTAAACACATGTAGCTTAAGTGTCCAGAAGCTAGAGGAGCACTTAGAGGAACATGGGGAACTGAACTGAACAACCTGCTCACTCCATGCTTCAGTTAACAGGCATAATGTTTGCGGGACTATTCTTGCGAGTTTCTTCCTTTGTGCTTGAGATCACTTGAGACTGTATATTAATGAACATCAAAAAGCATTGCTTTACCAGTTCTTCACGGTAATTTCTCTATAAGAGTCTGGGCAGATGTTTCAAGTGCAGGAACACTGTATGTATTAGTCATGAGAAATCAGCAATTAACTGGCTGTAGCACAAGAGACCTTGTTATAGGCAATAGCAAAAACTGTCAGAGGTCACGTAGGCAGTTCTAGTTCATTTATAGTTGGAGAACATGTGCCAACAAACACTTCAAGGGAAGTTCATCATAGTAATTGTGGGGACAGCCTTAAACACAAAGTATTCTTAAGGAGCTAAGTGGAACTTAGCACTTGAAAAATTATTTTGATTCAGGTTTTATTTTTTACCTTTGAACACTCTCTATCAATTTCAAAATGATACTTAGACTGTATCCTCATATTTCTTAAGTGGAAGGCTAAAGAGGCTCATTCTTGAGACTTGTATTACGAAAATGAAAAGCTAATTCATGTTCAGGGTGGGATTAAGATGAATTCAGTTTAGGTTCTGTATGTGCCTTGAGACTCCGCTTGTAGCCGAGGGAGGTCTAGTCAATGCAATCAGCGTAGCAAGCAGTTTGGCTCCCTCGGAACTGGACGTGTACGGGCTGCTTGGCTGCGTTCTGCGCTCCCCTGCCTGCGGTGACCAGGCGCTTCCTTCAGTAGCATGTGTGTAGGCTTGGCATTTGTCTTCATGTTTAGGTGGGTTTTTGAGCAGTAGTGTATTGTCAGAGCACATTTCCTATGTTAGATTTACCATTGAAAACATTGGTTTGCTTTGCAGAGTGGGTCTGGTATGTAGAAATTAAATTCCCTTTGGAGGAAACCAAAATGAAAGTTCTGCTCCAGGTCAGCACTGTCCATCTTCAGTAGGAGCTGGAGCGTGTTAGGCTCTGAGCCAGTGTTTCATGTCTTGGACAGCTTCATGGGGCGTATATGGAGATGGCATTGAATCTAGGGACCAGGCTAAATATAATCCCAGGCTGAAGCCCCTGAACAGCGTATTGCATGGATGTAGAGTGCTCAGTAATGACTGTTCTGATGTTTTGATCTTTTCGTTGTCAAATTATAGAATAAGCCATGAGCATGTAATAGTGTACGGGATGCCCTCAAATAGTAGACAAGCACAGGGCTAGCAAACTATTGTACAAGACTGATGGGAAATGCTTGCCCTTCCACAACAGCACTTCAAATGGCCCTGCACACCTAGGTGTGAGGGACAGCATTAAGTCCTACATCTAGAGCGTCAGTACAGTGTTTTCTGTAGAGAAGACAGTCTTTTCTGTCCTTTGGAGTACTCCTATAAAACTGGGTTAAGCAGAGTAGAGGGTGCAGAATTGCAACCCCTAAATTTCTGAGCTGTTGTATGCCTAATGGAAGCTTTCTCTTTAGATTGTGAGGCTATGAGTTTAAAAAAAAGTTGCTTCAGTAATTTACTTGACTAAATTTTAATACTTAAATTGATTTCAGTAAGCATGAAAGCTAAATTGTTTTCTTCAGTAAATTGTCTACAAGACCAAGCTCCAAAGTATCTTTATTGCATATGGACATACAGCAATGCGAACTGTTTGACATGTCTCCAAAATTTTCTGGTGGAAAAGGGAGCTGTTTAAAGCAAGGCACAGGAGATGCCAAGTGTTGCAATTCCCCTCTGAGAGTTTGGGTTTTGAGTTGAGGCTGTAGGTATGTGGCTTTTTCACCTGAGATGCTGGGCTTAGGCCTTCTCCTGAGTTCTGAACTAAGCAGAACTCAATTCAAGCGTAGCTTAGAAGAGGGAACAAAGGGAAATAACAAAACTGTTCTTCCCCTAAACTTCATATACTTATTTGGGTGCAAGTTCAGCAGTTTAGATGCATCACTAGCAGTGCTTCGGCTGCTGCTCACCTGTTTTTTGTTAAATAGTTTACTTCACTGTGATCCATCCACTGTAATATTAAATCTCAGCATTCAGTGCTCCAAAGCATGTAGCCTGAGGACAGAAATCAAGAGGTGGGTGTCTTGTGCTTGATTTGGTCTAACAAAACTTGAGTTCCTCTTTGGAGTGGCCTAACCTGGGTAGGATGGCTGAGGCTGTACTGTGTTCCAGGCAGGGGTCTGGCCTCTTCAACTTTAATCTCCTGCAGGCTATGCTTCTTGAATGTCTTTGAAAGCAGCTGCGTCCAGTTTTCAGTGAAGGCTTTGAGTTTGTTTAGGGGTACTTGATGTGCTCAGGCCTGCACTGGGTTTGGTTACTCTGCAATGATTGGGCATGGATTTTTTGACCTTTCTGTTTAGGCTAGGGTAGTATTAAGTATGCCTAGAAGCATCTAGTGGAACTACTTGAGTGGAAAAGCATGTTCCAGAGTGGATGACCAATGAGCGTGTTAAGACAGCAGTGTAGGACTGGGGCACTACAGAAGCCAAGACCTGTTTCAGTACGTCATTTTCTTGTTTGTTTCAATGAACTTCAGCATTTAGGATTCTCCTTCTGCCAAAGCTGTGGTTTACTTTTCAGTCAAGGTTTGAGCCTGTTTGACAAGTGAGCCTCAGCCTTATGAGGGCAATTGATACAGTAGTGAAGTTGGATGTTCAGAGTCAAAACATACTGAATGAAATGCAAGGAAAAAGGTGAGAAGTGAAAATTCTGGGGTTAAATCATACATAGAGTAAAGATGCTTCCTCATATTAATTAGCAGTGGGCAGTAATGCCCTTTGTTTTAAGGAAGGTCACTTCCTGAGCAAGTAACAGCACTGCCTGTCTGTGGGTTAGTATGAAATGATGCCAAGAAGAAATCAGGCCACCAACTGTTCTTTAGCAGGGGATAAAAATGATGTAAATATCGAGGGCAGATTCTTCCTCTTTCTTGCATGCACATGCCTACAACTGTGGACAAAAGTGTGGTCCCAGCTTCTGAAAAGTACTACTTTAATCTGTCTGTTAGTTCCCGTTCTGGTCAATGTTCCCTGCTGCTGATAACCGTTGTTCTGAAATTTGTCTGAATGCTGGCTATTTATTCCAATCTAACTTTAAACTTTCTTTCCAGTTCTTAGAAATGGGATGTGGCAGAACATTATGTGGAAAGAGGTAAATAAAACTGGGGATGGGAGGGAGCGGAAGAAGGTGTTCAAGAATTACTCTTGTCAAAATAAATTAGGAGACCTAGAATTTCCGCAGGCTCTGTTAGAATTCCCTGTGACTTGGGGTGGGAGGGATCCTTTCTGTTGCATTAGTGAAAATTGCCCTGAGCAAGGCACCTGAGTACCCATCTTGAAATCCTATGTTTCAGTCAAATGCTAATGAACTGTTGTGTTTTTGCTTGGACAGTTAATATGCTCCAGGGTGTAAACAGTGTTTTGTTTTTATTCCACCTCTAGAAGAGTAACTTTCACTGCAATGCTGTACCTCCCCTGAAAGTCTAACAGAGACTTCTTTTGCTGCCTGTGCTAAAAAGTTCTTGGGTTTTGAGGCTAATTAGTAAGCTGTTTGCTCAGGTAAGGAACATAAGCCCTGCTGCTACCTCAGGCACTCAGGACCCATGTTTTGAAGCTCTGTGCCAGGACCTGGTGAGCTTTATTTCTAGAACTTGCTGAAATCCCTCACGATGCATTGATCTAATCATGGCTTTTAATGCTGTTTTTTAAGGGCAAAATTAGCCGTGTTAACTAATAAATAAGGAAAAAGTACACCCTTTTAAAAACTCTGGGAAGTGAGACCTGCCTCAAGAGACCTAAAAGCAGTCCTGGGGAAGTGTTAGGCTATGGTAGAAACTAAGGATTGCCAGGGATTCTGGGGGCTAATGCTGGTGCCTGTTTATGCTGTTCCGTGTCCTATTTGTAGTGAGGACACTGAATTAAAAGATACTTAAAGCTGAGCTTGGAATCTGGTTTTCTGACACCCTTAAGCACTTCTTGAATTGGCCTGTGTCTGCATCTGCATATTCTCCAGGCTTACATTTGTTGTTAGGGACTAACAGTTCTGTACTAGCCACCTTGTTTACTTTAAGACAGACTTCTGATCTTTTTTGTGCTGAAATTGGTAGGGAATTTGTTTTCAGTGGGGTCAGAGTAAGACTAAGGAATCTACCTGGTCAAACATGCCATCTGTTTCAATTTTTATAAATTAATGTGTTCAAAATATTTTAAGCCTGTTTGAGCAATGCATTGGTACTAAGCAGCCTGATACTCATCAGGCAAGCCTGGCTTACTGTTTTGAGCATGCTGCTTGGTCCCATTAAAGGTGCGGGGAACTCTTAGGTTGTCAGTATTCCACAAGTCAGGCCTTTGCTCATCCCAGGTGACTATAGGTTGGGGAAGAACTGACTGGTAGTATCTAGCTGTAGACATGATAGTCCTTGCTAGTGACTCGTACAAGCAGTGCAGCTAAAGAGCGCTAAGGGAAAATGATGGTGATGGCTGGGTAGGTAAGTAATACAGAGAAGGAGTAGGAGAAACTCTTGAGGAAAGTAAAGTTTAATGATAACTTTTTTACTAGGAAAAAATCTTTCTATAGTTTAAATAAGACTGAAGAAAGAAAACCCTCAAATTTGGATAATGGCAGGATTATAGAAAAAAGTAATTTTTACTTAATATAAGTCCCAGAAGCTCACACTTTCCGGTTGAGTATATATATATTTTTTTCTATACAGAATTGTTTAATTTGCATTCAGAAAATGGAAGGCTTCGGCACTTCCCAACTTGCAGTGAAAACTACTCTGACTTTCAGAAGCACTGTCTCTAACTGTTCTGTGCATGATGCTGTTCTTTTGACTGGGTGGAAGAAAATAACCAACTAACATTCCAGACAAGCGAACTGTTTGTTTTTCTTTTCCATGCTACTGTACTCCTGCCCCTGACTCCACAGGTAGCAGTAGGCGATATTGTGAAGGTCACCAATGGGCAACATCTTCCAGCAGACATGATCATTATATCTTCCAGGTATCCTGAATGGGTGTGGAAATGATGTGTCTGATGAACTGAGGTGCAGAGGACTCCAAACTCTGTATTTGCTGTTAATAAAAACAGACATCAGATGGCACTAATTCTTCTCCACATCTGAAATCAAATTTCAACAATGTCAAAACAGTGCTTTACTAGGCAATGATTGATATATCATCGTAGATTGGTTCTTAAGAAAGAAGCCTTCTTCAAGAACCCTTATGGTATTATGTACCTGTAACTCACAAAGTGTGTCACTGAGTTGGGAAGACTGAAGGTCTGTAGCACAAGGTTCAGGCAGTCCGTTACACTTTGGCCTTCTGAGGATCCCTCCGTTTAATTAAGGAAGCTTAAGTTTTCTTCCAATTAATGCCACTGAGTTTCCAACACATTTCTGTGTCCCTCAGGAAAGACTTCTTTCAAACAGTGATTTGAAGAAGCTAGCCCAGCTGGCATCTCATAGCTAGCCTGGAAAATAGTTTTTGGACTTCATTTATTTACTCCTTGTCTTTGATAGAGCACATGTATGGCCCATCCCTAGCCACGATAGCAACAGTAAACTGTTGAGGCCTGATCTTTTTAGTTTGTGAAATATGGGACAACTTCCTTATACCGGCAAACAAAGCTTGGTCATTAGTTCCTAAAAGCTTTGTTAATCTAGGTTCTATATTGTGTTGAACAACTTGAGGCCAAATCAAGACCACTGTCCACTTAAATGAGGTGTTAAGCAAGAGACAATAGCACAGTTCCTCTACTTGAACGTGCTTTTTCTAATAGCCAAACCTTACGACACCTTGCTGTTCTCCATTTCCTTCTGTCCGCATGCTTTTCAACGGTGGCTGCAGGTTGCTCTGGTCTGCAGGTTATGGTTCTCTTGAATGATCCAACTTCCATGGGAACTTGTTCTCTAAGCTACTGCATTTTCTGTTCCATCCTTCTGGTCTGTGCCATTCCTGGGAGCTTTTGGTTTTTTTTGAAAGCTGTATGGGGAAGCTCAGTCTTTTTGAACTGTCAAATGATCAAGAATAGAGATCTTCATTCCATGGTATACGATACTGTATTTTTTTAAAACAAACCCCAAATTTTAAATAAGCAGTTGTCAACCTTAATATCCAGTTAGGCTGCACTTTGACATCAATAGCTTGCTGTTTCAGCATTGAGGAGTACTTGTTCTATTTGAGATCTTCTCCTCTAATGTATTATACTAAAAACCTTCTGTTTTTTTTTTTCTTAACTTGCACGGGTCAACCTTGTTGTACAATATTCTACTAACCTGCTGTCATTGATAATCACGTAGCTGGAGAATTTAACCTGAAGTATGTTGATTTGGGAGAAGCTTTGCTTGAAGTAAATAGCAATTTCTATGGCAGTTCTGCTTTACAATTGGTATTGTTCCCATGATTCTTTTAAGTGACAATACTAAGTGTCCTCAGTTCACCAGAAGGCTTTGCATGCTCTAAAGGTGTGGGGTGTTTTACCTGTGTTCACTTTCTGTGTCTGAGCTGAGTGTCAGAGGTGTGATAAACAGTTGGTTTTCTCTTGACTCTTTTTTTTTTCCTCTCCTCATAGAGGAAAGGTGAGATCAGATGAATTTTACATAGCATAAATTTACATGAAGGAAAAAGTATTTTAATACAAGCACAACTTTGTATGGAAACACTTCCACGTTTCTGTGGAAATGAGAGCAATTGTATTGCAAGAGGTCTTCCTCCTGAGTTAACCACTGAAGATATAATAGTTAAGTTGTTGGTGACAGAAGTAAAAACGGAATCAAGCTGGGCTTAATCCGTGTCTTTCTTTGGTTCAGGTTGCCTGTATAGGAGGAAACAAAGGACAGTCTCTGAACCTTTATTTGAAGACAGAGTCTCTGGAGAGAAAAATATAACTTCTTAGTGTTATAAATGAACCTGTCTGTTTCTTAATCATATTTGTCCAAAGGAGCCTTTATTACTGTCTCTGCTGCTGATTAAGTACACTCACTGTTAAAGCAGCTGGTTACTTTGGAAGAGAAATAGCAACATCTCAAGAATATGAAAAGTGGTACACTGAAGAAGCACTTGTTTGAATCCAGAGGGGAAAGTGATATTCCTTAGCAGCCTGAGAAGACAGCCACAGAAAAATAGTTTTGGTGGTGCCATACAGCAGTTTAACTCTAAAGGGGCATGTCAGGACAAGACCCATGATTGAAGTACCCTTCTGTATGGCAGGTGGTACCTATGCAGAGCTCTTCCATGTTAGGTGTAGGTAAGAGCTTGACTAATAGATAAGTCAGTTCTGTGAGGGAGATCCCATTCCCTGCCCCACATTGATAGGGGCAGAAGCATCTCTGGAAGATACAGATCACAGCCCTCAGTTTCAATCTTAATGTACCTTCTTCTGATTCTCAAAACAAAAAAGCTGGTTAGCAGTGACTTGGGATGTACCTCCACAAGGCCCTCAACTTTTAAGGTGATCCTGTGGCCATGACTTTTTTTGTGTGCAGTTGTGGTTTAACCCCAGCCAGCAACTAAGTACCATGCTGCTGCCCACTCCCTCCCTCGCCCCTCTGTGGGATGAGCAGGAGAAACCGAAAAAGGTAAGACCCATGGGTTGAGATAAGAACAGTTTAATTGAAACAAAATATAATTAGAATAGTAATGAAAAGGAAGAGAGAAGAATAAAACCCAAGTGATGCACAGCACAATTGCTCACCACCCACGGACCAATGCTCAGCCCGTCCCCCAGCAGCGATCGACCCTCCCAGCCATCTCCCCCCAGTTTCTATACTGCCTGTGCCGCTCTATGGTATGGAATCTCCCTTTGGGCAGTTGGGGTCGGCTGTCCTGGCCGTGCCCCCTCCCAGCTCCTTGTGCCCCTCCTCGCTGGCGGAGCGTGGGAAACCCCAAAGTCCTTGACTTGGGCAAGCCCTGCTCAGCAACAACTGAACCGTCAGTGCGGTATCAATGTTATTCTCACACTAAATCCAAAACAAAGCACTGTGCCAGCTACTGCAAAGAAAATGTAATTCTGTCCCAGCCAGAACCAGGACAGCAGTTCAGACGGAAGTCAATAGCAGAGCACACGACCCTCTTACTCCAAGCACAGCCCCTTGTTACACCATTCAATACTTAGTATTTTTTTCTGTAGCTCTTAATCTGGAGCAATTTTATGGATTGCAGTGTAAAATAGTCCAGGCATCTACGTTTATCATGGCTTGTTAAATTCTTACTAACCTTCTAATTTAGACTTGTCTTTCTCTGTAGTTTGTCATATGAGAGTATTCATATCCAAAGATGTCTCTGTATTTTCAGCTGGCTCTTTCATGGTCATATACCACCAATATGGATTTTTGTCTTCTGCAGTGTTTTGTGAACCACTTTTAGTGCAGAAGTAGTATACAAAAAGTACTGAGTTTTAATGTTGAATCTTATGCTCCTTACAGTGAACCACAAGCCATGTGCTATATTGAAACAGCTAATCTTGATGGGGAGACGAATCTTAAAATACGACAGGTAATCAAAACTGAATTTCATTTTTTTCCCATTTAGGTATCTAAGATTAGCTACAAAGCAAGAGTCTAGCTTGCATGACAACAATACAAGTGCTCTTTTTTAAAAACAAAAGTGTATCTCTTTCCAGATGGCTGTAAGCTGCCTTTTCAGCAGATACAAACCGAAGCAATAATGCTTCACATGCAAGTGCAAGGAACTAATCTGAAGTATTGTAAATCCACAAAGGCAAAACAAGCAGATTTTGGCTGTGTTTTGCTGAAGATCCAGTAAGTGGAATTGAAGTGCTGTAATGGCAAACAAACAAAACCAAAAAACCTGAAAAACCCACCAAACTAAAAAAAAAAATCCCCCAAACCACAAGTCAGCTGTGCTTGTGATGAGAGCTGTGGTTTCTGCTGTCGCAAGTGCCAGCCTGCCCGCTGCTGCCTCTACGCAGTGCTCAAAAGGACCTTTTATATGTTGAAGTCAGTTTATTCTGTCTCTGTGGCAAGTATTGGAATTTAATTGGATCTTTCTGATTTTGTTGAAGAAACACTGATTAGTGGTGTTTAGAAATAGTCCAGAATCTTTGCTGCCTTTCATTACAAAAAATGAATTTGGATTAGGATTTTGAAACACAGATTGTGTGTTTTTGAAAAAGCTGTACATTTGCTGCTTGTTACCTTTGTAAAAATGTGATTTGCTGTTCTGGATCAGCCCTGTAAATCAGATCTTGACTTCCTGTCAGATTTTATTTCCTTCAGGGTGCATGCTGAAAATACAAAAAAAGGTTGAGGGACCTTTTAAGGCCTTGTTCTGGCTTTCAGTGCTGCAGTCAAAATCTGGCAAAAGAAACATGAAATGGATCACTCGACCAAGTGGAGGTGTTCAGAGATGAAAAGCAATGGAGTGTTTTACGTGCACTCTGGAGTAGCAACGTGTTAGGCTACAGTTGTACGGTGGGTTGATAATTAACCTTGAGTAGGATCCCAGCGTAATGGCTGCAGTGACCCAAGAGAGACCACGCTTAGGAGCAGCTATATTTAGCAGCAGTGATGGATCAGTGGAGCTGTACATTGAGAGAAAAGCCGCAGTTGTTTATACTGCTTGTCTCCTGCTTCCTCCTGCACGTGTGCAACTTCATGCTTTGTGGATGGGATTTTCCCCTTGGTTACAGAGAGATCATGTAGGTAATATAACTCTCTTGTGTTAGAGGGATTTAAACCAAATCTCTATAAGCAGGATCATATGTGTCCATAATGAGTCTTGAAGGAAAGAGTTATTGCGTACCCATTTAAAACAAACAAACCAAAACAAAACCACCCACCAACAAACCTGACAGAAAACCTCCACACATTTAATTACATTTGGTATCTTAGATATTGGAAGAAAACACTGTTTTGCTAAGTTGCCTTCTAATAACAGTTTTTGACAAGGGTCTTCTTTGGTTTGGTCTCTGCAGGGATTGTCTCAAACTGCTAGTCTCCAGTCAAGAGAAGAATTGATGAAAGCATCTGGAAGGATAGAGTGTGAAGGACCCAACCGTCATCTTTACGACTTCACTGGGAACTTGCGCTTAGATGGTCAAAGGTATTGACTTGACAACAAAGCCATAAATTCATTGGGTTAGGAAAAATGCTTCCTGTGTGTTTTTGGTCTGCAACCCTGAGCACATGCATGTTTTTCCTGGGGAAGAGGAGCGTAATAATTAACAATTGTTCATCAGAGTATTTGCTGGTATAAGATAAAATAATTCTGTCTTCTTATGGAGTCTTCTGCTTGTTATGGGAGAGTTGGTTTCTTTTGAATTGTAGTGTGTGTTTTTTATCAAAAGTAACATCTGAAGAGAAAGAAGAGGGGGTGGAATGGTTGGGGTTTTTAGGGCTGTCTTGTTACAGGAGATACACAGAGGAAATAGAAAACCTTTCCCTTCCAACTAGATCCAAAGGCTGCACCAAGTTCAGATTTATAGAGAAAAATGATCCTAGAATTTGACATCTTTCAATGTGACTTTGATCTGCTGCAGATCTTGGAAGAAAAGAACTTGGTTTTAGTACTTGAATTCATAGAACCTGAAAGAACAATAGAAACATAAAGGCTTCATTTGGCTGTACCTGTTATCCTACACAAAAACTGTATCCCTTAGGCAACTCAGCTGAACAGTGACAGATGCAAGAATAGTAGTTGACCACTTGCATCCCACTTAAAATTACATGGGTAATACAATTCTCCCAAAATGCTTGTTCAATGGAACATGTGAGGTTATAGTGTGCTTGGAATGGATGGTCTCTTTGCAATTGTGATGCTTCCCTCTCCTTGATGTGAGAGAGAAGACACTGGCCAAGGTAAAGTGCAGGGTAGGCTTATGGCTGCCATAAATTGTCAAGTTTTGGGTAACTAGAACAGCTCCCTGGTATGAGCTTTGCCCTACTGTGCTTTAGCAGGGATTGGACTTACACAAGTTTCAGTGTTTGAGTTGTGCGGACAATGTAAGTTCATTATATTACTTTCCTCTTTTTGTGGTTTGTTTGGGGTTTTTTGAGGGGAGGATTAAGGCTGAAAGGAGAATTGCTTTCCTGAAGTGTTATCAAGAATTGAGAGATATACATACTTCTTGCTTTGCAGCCCAGTTCCTGTTGGTCCAGACCAGATCTTGCTAAGAGGTGCACAGCTGAGAAACACTCAATGGGTCTTGGGTATTGTTGTGTATACAGGACATGATACAAAACTCATGCAGGTAAAGTTTTTAAGGAGATGTAGAGCATGTTCTGATAGAAGTTGGTCATCTTTCCAGAATTCTACTTGTCTTTTGGACTTGATTTTATGAAATGGTTTGACTCATCATAGCTGTTTAAGACCTGGAGGCCTTGAGGAATGCAAGGGTACTGTTGTACTTGAGGTTACATGTGCACATGTGTAAATACTTATTGAGGTATTTGTCTCAAAACACTTCAATATGTAAGTAAAACCAACTATATTTTTAACTTAATTTATCTGGTAGCAGGAGAACATTTAAAACTGAGGTTTAACAGCTGAGGAGATGTAATGACCACCTGTAACTTCAGCACTTGGAGATAATTAGATTAAGACTACAGTCTCTGTATTGCCTTAATGGCAGGGAGTGCCCAGAGAGACCTGTAGACTGTCAGTGGGATGGACAGCCAGAAGATGAGCATGCTAGGACTTTAGAACCGAATGGTTCTGTTCCCCTGATCTCCTGTCGGTTTTGGAGTCATTAGGAGTACTGGCTCCTATTACTACCTTGTTGAGTTTTGCGTACTATATTGAGCTAAATAGAGTTGAAGTAGCAAGTTCTATAATGGACTCCAAAATAAAGACTGAGTTTGCCTCTGCAGTTTCTTCTTGTATAAGCCATTGCTAGACTTTTTTTTTCTTCCTGCTGCTGTTCAGAATTCGACCAAAGCACCTCTGAAGAGATCAAATGTGGAGAAAGTGACGAACATGCAGATCCTGGTTTTGTTCTGTATTCTCCTGGTAATGGCCCTTGTGAGTTCTGTAGGTGCCTTATTGTGGAACAGAACACACGGCGAAGTCGTCTGGTACCTTGGCTCCAACAGTGAGTATACAGACAGTGTGCTAAGGGTGTGTCGGACTGTAGGGCTGGCCCGGCTGTTAGCTTTGCTAAATGAAGGCATAAAATAAGAAACAGAAGAAACAAAACCTGTTGCTAAATTTTTGATGGCCCAGTATTTTTTTGAGAATGGGCTGGCATAAGTAAACTTGCCAGTAAGGCTTCTGTTAGTAAAATCTTCAAAAGGTTTTAATAAATGTCATTGGGCTACCACCCAGGGAGCAGGGCAGAGACAGAAGAGGGACAAGAGTTACTCTTGGATGTTTGGTGTTCAAATTCTTTCAGCTCTGGAGATGCCTAGCACAGCTTTGTCCTCAGAGCAGGTCACCTACTGCTGCTTTGTGTATCCTGTCTGACGGTACCTGCCCGCAGGATCGCAGGTATCAGTCTGATACTGACCTCAACTCTATCCTTGGGTGCAGGAGCAAAGGATTTCTCTAGCTGTTTTCTTGAGTCAGAAGTGCTGATCTGCTCTTGTTGTAGAGAAAACTGTTAAATGCTGAATGTTATGACTTTGTATTTATTGGATAATGTTTCAGTTGTTTTGGCTTCCAACTTCTCTTATTTTGTAATGAGAAAATGGATCTCTTAGTGTGCTCAAAGGGTTTTATTTGATTTCATTCATACTCATTGAATTTGTTAGTTCAGATATCAAAGATGGGCCTTATGCAAATACTTAAGGATGAAATAAATTGCCCTCCAGTAGACTTCTGACTTGAGCGGGTTACATTAACTAGCTATAAAATGTGTTGTTACAAACATCTTGAGATGCAGATCTGAAAACAATTCTCACAAAACTGCAAATGTTCTTCCTGCTAGTGCTTGCAAAACAGATGGCAAAGGCTGTCTTCTGCAGTTTAAGAATTGCAATTGTGACACTAATGAAAAAGCATGTAGGAAGAGCATGAAAGTGCCTCGTATTTGACTGTCATTTTTGGTAGTTGTAATGTCTTCTGGTTGCAGTATCAGCAACTTTCAGAGTTTCTTCCCTGTCTTCCCCCTTGTATTTTAATGAGGAAGTTGAAATTTGTATCTTCCAATAATGGAAGTAATATTGGAAATGATAAATGGAACGAACTCTTGAACTTGTGCTAATGTAGAACAGGTGCAACTGTGGTAAACTAGGATGATATAGTCTGTATAGATGCTTTTTTGTAAACTGAACACAAGTTCTATCACCTGTAACTCACATGTGGGAAGGATGCTTTTTTCAGACTGGGCAAGTAGATGTTAGATTTATGTTAAATGTCTAATTTCTATAAAGATTGCATTGGAAAAACCTTTTCCAATATCAGGCGTGGTTCTACTCTTTCTGTAAACTGATCAGAGAGATGGAATTCATGTGTCATGAATTCGGAGGTGCCTGGGTCCAAACCTCAAGTCTTGCTCTGGCCTTTATCAGACTTCAGCCAACTTTCTGACTTCCATCTCCCCCTAAGTGTGCTCCCCTGCCTTCTTACTGACTTATCTGTAATGCTGAAAACCCCATTGTGCTGGGTGCTCTGTGTGCTGACTGAAGTGCATCCCTAAGCTTCAAGGAAAGTGAGGAATAGACAAATGTGGAGACTTTGGATGTAAAGAACTGCTGTGGGCAGCACCAGGAACAGGACAGGAGCCTTCATCCTGTCTCTACTGAGCCATGTCCATTCCTGCCTAGTGTCCATAAACGGTGCCCCTTCCCTTTAGGACTAGTTGTGCTGACAGATTTATTTGGGTAACTTGCCCAATGTTGTCACCACTAATAACAGCTCTTCTGCTTAAGCCGGAAGCCTTAGCTCATTTACTAGGTGTCTGTTTACCAGTCCACTTGTTCTCTTAGATTTCTTCAGTGTAACTTCTCAATTCTGCCAATGCTGGCAGATTTTAGAACAACTTGTAGTCTTTTTTTTTTTTCTGACTCTACTGAAACAAGTAGGCACTTTCTGAAAGGCAAAGTTATGTTACTAGTGATATTGGTGGCTCTTAATTGGGGCAGTTGACACATCAGATAATCTCTAAGTTTAGGTTATGATGTGGAATATCATACTTCTCACCATCTGTTTAGCAAAAGTTGTTCAGAAAGTGTTCTGTTCTCTAACATATAGCCTCACCAATCTTGCTCTTCACCTGGCATAGTATGCTGTGTATTCAGGCATGTGTTCTGTGAGTGTTTTATATATGTACTATTGAAATCAATATTTAAAAGGCCCTTATATTAGGCCTCACCATGCTTGCTGATTATGTTAGCACTACTAAATCTGATTAGGCCAACTGCAGAAAGATGACTGTCCCAGTACTGTACCACTCAAACTTCTGCCTTCTGTCTGCTAATGTCTTCTGTCTTTCGGTCCACAGAAATGCTGTCTGTCAACTTTGGATACAATCTGCTGACATTTATAATCTTGTACAACAACCTTATTCCAATCAGTCTTCTGGTGACATTGGAAGTTGTCAAGTTTACTCAGGCTCTTTTTATAAATTGGGTGAGTAACAAGAATAAATGTGTTAATGGCAGTTTTGGAAAGTGACGTTTAAAAAAAACCAACACCACCTTGAAGTCTTTACCAGACTTTTCTGATGTAACTTCTGGGAAAGGCAGGGAGAAGTTCAGATGATTTATTCTGCACTAGTTGTGTGTTCCACCAGAAATGAAAAGATTTAGTTGTAGGAAGATTCCCTGTGCAAATGATCAATCTCATATGTTTTAGACTCTCAAGATGAGAAGGGAGGTTCAGTTCTTCTGGTTGAAGGAGGTCTCTCAGCTGACTCATGTTCAGTAAATCCTTTTTGAAAACTCTTCAGTACTGTGTAACTTCTCTCATCTACAGCAGGGGGAAAGACTAGGCTTGGGGGTGTGGGGTTTTGTGTTTTGTTTTTGTGTTTTTTTTAACTCCTGAGGCTGGCCTTAAGGTCACTTCTGGTATGAATCATAGTATTTCTGTAAGGAGATGAGTTGGTGGTGCCTCGTGCAACAAAACGGTGATCCCTCTGTTCAGGCAAGCTTTGACTTCAAAGTGTGTTTCTCTTCAGTTGTGGACCAAAAATACTGTAGTGATGTTCTCTTAAGCTGAAGAAAAACAAGAGGAATACCTTGTCTTGGTACACGTTAATCCTTGAACTTTTAGTGAAGTTGTAGTGATTCCTCTAAAATACAAGTAAAAAAAGGTCTAATGTGTCTGTTCTTTGAGCTGCTTCTAATGTATTGGAGGTACTTAACTAGCTTATCTGAGAAATTGTTTTGGTTTATGTAGCAGATGTTTTGTTTACCCTCCCAATTAAATGTAGTAATAGGAGTTGATTTCAGGGTCACTTAAATTGTCTCTTCAGTCATGGATGTGGCTAGAGTAAATTGCATTGTTGTAACTGAAGACCTATGATTAGTGTGGCTAATGCCTGTTAGAACTGCTTCCTACTGTGCTAAATTCTTAAACTAGAGATGCAGTGAAGAAAATGATAGTTACCTGTAATTGAATCTCTCTTCTCATGTACACATATTAACGAGGTGTACTCTGGAGAGGAGGCACCCCTGTTCCTCCACCAGTGGAATTAAGTCAAGTCAAGTTGGAGCTGACTAAAGGAAGACTGGAGTCTTCAGTGGTTAATTTGCATAGCATAAGTCTAATTTTGCTCTTGTTTCAGGACATAGATATGTATTATCCTGAAACAGATACACCTGCAATGGCCAGAACCTCAAACCTTAATGAGGAACTTGGGCAGGTAAGACAACGTTTTCTTGAGTGTCATGTTTGTGGTATCTTCTGGGAAGACAGGAGGTAGGAGAGCATGCTGTACACATCTGCTTTCATCAGTTGTTCTGTGACTCAGGTTCATGGGACATCTTTACTTTCGTTAGTCCAAGTCTTACAAGTAAAATAATGAGATACCACAGAATTAAATTTGAGGTCATGTAGGCAGTTTTAAGCCTGGGAATTGAGTCTGTCATTTTCTGTTCACTCTAAACTGACTCTTTTCCTCAAGGGTGTTGGAGAGGCTGTGTGGTTGTGACTGTCTGTACTGGAACAAAATGTAGAAGGCTAAGCTTGGGTGAAGAGCAGGCCAACAGCCTCAGCCTGTGTTCTTAGTTTGTCATGTTTCTGACCACCTCACAGGAAATGCAAGTCAAAAAAAATGCAGTTCTATTCCGAATTTAGTTTGTGTTTCTGCAAGCATTTCCATTTTCCTTTCAGATAAAGATAACTATTTTAACTTGTAGTTGTTGTAAGAGATTTGTTATAAATTCTGCAAATGAGATATTTTTCAAAGAAAGGGCTTCCCAAGACAAGGTTACTGTAAAACACAAGCTTGTCATTAGAGTTTTTTGTAGTACTATTGAGAAATCCTAGGTTTTTTCCTTGACCAGCAAAGTCATAGGTATGTAACTAAACCACATGAACTTCATCATTTGTGTGAATTTAGTGTTGGAAACAACGTTTATGCATGTAAATACGTAATTATTATGTGCTGCTCAGCAGGGTGGTAGGCAATATTCTTCCCACTTAATCCGATTGACCTCTTCCTTAGGGTTGTTAGTTTGATTTGTATTTAGATTGATGTAATGTTACCAACCTCCAAATTTGTAGTAGTGTTTTTGTCTGAAGTAAACTGTATTATGTGGTATAATGTATATTGTTGGCCCATATGTTGTTTCCAGAAATGGCTTATTAGTGATTCCATGTAACTAGACTGAATTCTTGGATTCATTAACTGAATTACTTGTTCACAGGTGCATTTTAAAATTTTGCTATATGCTAGAATTATTAATGACTTGAAGTTCCTCGGATGTTTGGGTATCCCCTTTGACTTCTAACTTACACAGCCTCGGTTTCCAGTGCTGTATTTGAAGCAGAGCAGTGCACAGCTAAGGACCACTAAACTAGTAGTGTCATGCACTGTCTTGAACTGAACCACAAATATTGAGGAAAAGCTTTTTGCAACTCTAGGCAAAATACTCTGGTCTTTTAATTGGCTAACTACTGTGTTAGCACCATCCCTTCCTACCTGCTGATGGTTTAAAGTCTTACCTGGTGCAGAGGTAAAACTGGAATGTAGCTTGCAATGAATTTTAGTCTGTTGTGACCTACTGAAGGTGGTGGGCATCTTGAGTCCGCTGATACTCCAAGGAGTCATGTTGCTGTGTTGGAGTCGTTTCCACGTCCTGGCTGAATATCACTGGTTTCCATGAAGGGATTATTAGTTTGGACAGTGCTGACTGTGGCTGTGTGTCTTGCGCTTCAGGGCTGAATACCAGAAAAAGTGGCTTATGTTTACCTGCAGAATACCACTTGGACTTATTCTAGGTTATTCCTTGCACAGTACTGTTTACGGGGAAACAAAAAACACCTAACAAATTCCTGGTCATCTCTGGAACACAGAATTTCTTCAGTGTGTTACATTCTAATGATTCTTCAACAGTCTTAAGAGTCCTTGTTTTAATTTCCAGTCTTGCTGTTTGGCGTTAGAACAGTCGAAAGACTTGGTCAATGTTCAGCTAGCACAAGCAAGTACATCTGTACTGACCACCCTGGAGCCTTGGCAATTGATACCTACTGTTTGAGCCTTTCTGCGTTTAGAGATAAAGAAGAATTAATGCCATTAAATAACTTTCCTGACTATTTCTTGTAGCTTTGGTAAGACTAAGCTGTAATAAGCCTACATTGGCCAGTACTATGACATTCGAGCCATATGTCTCCCAGAATTTTCCTGATACTTAATCTTTCTTCATTTTCAGTGTTGTTACTTTGCAGGTGAAAAACTAGACTTTTTTTTTCTTCCAGGTAAAATACCTGTTTTCTGATAAAACAGGTACTCTAACATGCAATATCATGAACTTTAAGAAATGCAGTATTGCTGGAGTGACATATGGGTAGGTATGACTATTTTTTAGAAACTCTGTAGCTTAATATGTGTTTATTAATGGTACATACTTTTATATTGGAACAGGATTAGAACATTCTGTTCTTCAGTTTGTGTTTTAGTATATTTTGTGTTCTCAGTTAATAACTTTCTTTTTCATGTTCTGCAACACAAATTACGGAATGCGAACCTGGGGAGTACTTTATATGAAGTAAAGAAAACTTGTGTCCTAACTGACCTGATCATGATTTAAACTAACCCAGAAGTGCGAAGTAACCTCTGGCCTTTCCAGAGGGAAGATGATGTAGCTGAAGGGTAGCAGTTGTCCGTCATGTTTCTCTGACTTGTTCAGATGAACCAGAGTTTCATTACAACCATGTAGCTGTAATTGGAGTTGTAATGTTAAATATTCTTTGCATGGGAGAGGTACTCACTTACTGGTTTTGTTCTGATTCTGTCAAAAGGATCCCTTTGAGTCATGCCAATATTTCATAGCACTTGGCCTTTTGAGTCTTGAATACTAAATCTTTGTCTTTATGTGGTTTTAGCTGAGTAGTGTTAAGATCTCTGTGCAAGTTAACCTTTGAATTTCATGGTAGCTAAATTAGATACCTCAAAAAGCAGAAAACTTGGTTCAAATACATGAACAGCTGAACCCATGGTTCTAGCATATGTATGTGCGATGACTCATTGATCTTAGCCTTCTACCTATTTTTTGTGTTGCAAAGTGGAATAAATAGTCTTTTTTTTCCTTTTCCTACCCCTCAGTCACTTTCCTGAGCTGGAAAGGGAACGTTCATCAGAAGACTTCAGGTAAATATAGTCCAAGATGTTTGTGTTCTGTATAGCAGAGTGGGGACAACTTATATAAAGACTGCTTTCCAATTTGGGACTGGAAGAAGCCCAAGGGAGCAATGTTTTTTGAGTAAAATGCTTTTCCAGCAGGAGCCTAATGTGGAGCTGGTGGGTGGTGATGGATCTTCTCTTCTGCAGAGAGAGATGGTGGGTGAGGGACAGGCAGTGGCTGGCGTGGCTTGGATGCATGCTAATGCAGTGCTTATTTATAATTGCAGACAACCAAGTTACAAGCTCAAGAGTAACCTCCTTTACAGTAACCTTACCTCTAGCTAGAGACTGAATGTTACTCTTTGCAATCACTAAAGTCAAACCTGACAAGGAGAAAAGGAACTTCTTTAATAAATACTATGTTTTAATAATTAAACCTGGAAAGAGCTTGATATGGAGATGTCAGGAGAACTACTCCTCCTTATTCAGAGCTCTGAGGAATAGAGGTGATGGGTCTGTCACATTCTACAGAAAGGAGTGAAAACCTAGAAGTGTTACGCAGGTGTGTCTCTAGCTTGTTCAGATTAACAGGAAAGGGGGAAAAGGCAGAGAGGGCTGATGTGGCTTTGCCAAATAAAGCTAAGAAGTGAGTTCCCACCCAAGAAACAGACACTGAATGCAGTTAGCCACTTTCTGATGAGCTAAGTTAGGCTTCTCCATTGCTCCATCTCATTTTTATGACCACCTTTTAGGAAGATGATGTGATACAATGGTATGTTGCTACCTCGACTGAGATGTGATTTCTATGGATGCCTCTTTTTCTTCCAATATGTTACTGTTCCCTTCGTTGCATCTTTTCTTTCCTTGTACACTTATTTTCTTGTCAGTTCTGTGGAAGAGTTTCTTCCTGATACTAATTTGGAGTACTCAAGCTTAAAATCCATCAGGGATCAACTTGAAGCAGAACTCTCTGACTAGAGAGGGAGCTTAGGGGTATTGATCTCTGACCTGTCTTAAAAGCAAGTCACCTTGAAATCGGTGCATTTCCAGTACACTTAAAGGCTGTTTCTGCTACATCTGTCTTAAGTGTGTTGACACTTGAATCTTCTTGAATATACTTTCAAGCATAACCATTTTGGGTTTCTTGCTGGTGTTCTGAAGAAATT